ACCATGTTAGAGCTCCCTGGGAGCTCTAACATGCCATGTTAGAGCTCCCTGGGAGCTCTACCATGTGAGGGAAATCGATCAACGAAGGGGGATCCCTCAAATCGCCCTGCCCCTCGGGAACCCACACAATAGCCTCCTGGACCCCTCTTGGGGCGCTCTTGGAGCGCTCTTGGGCGCTCTTGGGGCCGTATTGGGGCTCTCTTGGCCCCCTCTTGGGGCCCTCTCGGGCCATCTTGGAGCCATCTTGGGGCCTCGGATGGTCATCGGAAGCGAAAAGGCGAGAAGGCACAAACCACATATTTTCTGTAAGTTGTTAAAGGCTTTTGGCATCTTGGGGGCCTCCTTGGAGGTCTCCGAGGCCTCTTGGAGCCGTCTTGGAGCGTTCTTGGGGCCCCTTGGAGAATCTTCGGGGCCATCTTGAGGCATCTTAGGCTATCTTGAAGCATCTCGGAGGTCATCTTGGGCTCTCCGAGGCGCTCTTGGAGCCGTCTTGGGCCATCTTGGGCTCTCTAACTACCCGCGGGGCGCCCCGTCCAGGTCCAGGGGAGGGGGTAGGGGGAGGGGGGGCGTGAGGAGGAGGAGAAGGAGGAGGATGAGGAGCAGGAGGAGCAGGATAGCAGGAAAAAGGGTGAGCAGGAGGAGGGCCATGGGCCATGGGGGGATGCTGATTACGATGATGACGGTGATGATGACGATGATGATGATGACGATGATGATGATGATGATGACGACGATGCTGATGATGATGACGACGATGATGATGACGATGACGATGATGATGATGATGCTGACGACGACGACGATGATGATGATGATGATGATGACGATTCGGGCTCACATGGAGCTCTAACATAGCATGTTAGAGCTCCCATGTTAGAACTCCCAGGGAGCTCTAACATACCATGTTAGAGCTCCCTGGAAGCTCTAACATGGCACGTGATACCATGTTAGAGCTCCCAGGGAGCTCTAACATGCTATGTTAGAGCTCCCTGGGAGCTCTAACATGCCATGCTCGAGTCATGCTCGAGCTACTTGGGAGCTGTAACCTGCCATGCTCGAGCTCCCAGGGAGCTCGAACCTGCTATGTGAGAGCTCCCATGGAGCTCTAACATAGCATGTTAGAGCTCCCAGGGAGCTCTAACATGGCATAACATGCCATGTTAGAGCTCCCATGGAGCTCTAACCTAGCATGTTAGAATTCCCAGGGAGCTCTAACATAGCATGTGAGAGCTCCGGTGGAGCTCTAACATAGCGTGTTAGAGCTCCGACGGAGCCCTAATATACGAGGTCAGGGCTCAGCCTATCATGTTGCACCTCGCTAGCCTTCATGTTACTCACACCGAGTTCTAACAAGGGAGGTTCCACTCTTCCCCCGAGATGCCGTCTTTGTGCCCTCTATCCCGCCCTTCCCTCCAGGGGGAGCTCAGTCGCCGTCGCTCCCCTCTCCTCCATCCGCCCCTCTCCGCAGGTGGTGATCGGCGACCTCGGCTGTGTGGAGATGGCGGATTCCCACGACAGGTTGAAGAAGAAATTGCGCTACAGCCCGACCTGCGATGACCTCGGAGTATGCACGCCCGCTTACAGAGCGGTAGACGTTTTCTTGGGGAACCAGCGCTACTCAGAGGACCTGGACATCTGGTCCATCGGGTGCCTGATCGCGGAGTTGCACGCGCGCCAGGTGTTGTTCCAACCAGAGCCTTTTGGCGCGATCGGGCAGCCATGGGTGCACCCGAAAGACTTCGTGGATACCTTCAGGGAGGTCTTGGGGATCCCAGGCGAGGAGCCAGGGTCCGGAGACTACGGTCACGAGGATCCCGCCCCGTGGCTGGACAACCTGCCTTTCTTTAAGAAGTGGTTCAAGCGGTCGGGCGAGGATTGGCTAAAGGCTGAAACGGCGAATTCACTCGACGGCCGAGGGCGCTGGCCCGTTGCCGAACTTGCAGGCTGCCCCCCAGACTTGTCGAAGGCCGCCGAGAGCTGCCTGCTTTGGCACCCTGGCGCCAGAGCGACAATCAGCCGTCTAAGGGCGCGTCGCTTCCTGCAGCCGGCTGGCGCCCCGCTCGACGTGCGTATCGCCATGGCGCAGGGAAAAAACGGCGCGGGCACGATAGCGGAGGCGGTGCTGGACCCAGACTTGCCCCGCTTCTTGCAGGGGGCCCCGCGCTGGCGGAACTTGGCCAAGGAGCGCCTGGACACGGGGGCAACCGTCTCCAAATGCGTCCGAGGCGACGAGGCGGCGCAGGGCTTGAAAACGGAGGTCGCAGGCATCGTGGACGACGAAAGCCCCCCGAAGTGCCGCAGCCTCAACAAGGGCGGGAATTTGCAGATCGCCCCCTCGCCCCGCGTGGCCGCCTTCGTGCGAGCGCCGCGGAAGAAGATGCGCCCGCGGCTGCAACAGCTGGGAGACAAAATGCGCGAGGCTGTCAAAGCCGACTGCGTGCCGCCTGCCATCGTCGAGCAGAACGGAAAGCCCATCGTGACAGAGCACTTCGCCGACACCGCGTTCGCGTGCGCATCGATCCAGCTCATGCAACCAGGCGCGCGGGGCGATGGTTGGCGCGCAGATGGCGGATGCTCCCTGTTGCACGCGGCCGTGGCGCTTTTCGGGGCGCGCTCCGTGCAAGTGAGGATTCCAGCGGGAGCACGTGATGGGGCGTCGCCCTCGAGCGCAGCCTCCTGCGGAAGGGTCGTCGCCCTCGAGCGAAAGCCTGGGTCCTTCTACATGGGCGCCCTGTCCTCCCTCGAGCGCAACGTGCGCCGCCGCGCCTCCGCGGACTGCCGGGGCTGTTTCGCGACCCGCCGCGAGCAGCGACAGCGCGTAGACGACAGCAGGCCGCAGATCGCCGTCATGATCCGCTCCGACGTCTTTCGGGAGTGCAGGGCGCGCAGGATCGACGCCACGCCTGGCCCGAAGGAGTTCTTCAGCGTCGTGAACCACCTCGTGGCCGATCACCTGGCACGGGTCCCCGTGGCGCTGCCCGACCTCACGGAGGTGCTTGACGAAATGCGGTGGCCCGCTTCCACGGAGGCCGTGGTGCTTTCCGATTCCGATTAGGCTGCAACAGTATCCGAATCCGATTAGACTGCCACAGCACTCAGCGTCATCATCAGCATCATCATCTTCATCGCCATCATCATCGCAATCGTCGGCTTCATCATCATCGTCATCATCATCATCATCATCAACGTCAACATGTTCATGCCGCCATCATCGTCATGCGGGTCATGATTCAATCAACATCATCACTACATGATGATGACGATGACGAGGAGATGATGATGAATATTATGATGGTGGCGATGATGAGGAGATAATGATGATGATGGCGATGACGCGGACGATGATGAATCTCATGGCGGCGATGATGACGATGATGATGACGATGATGCAAAAAACAGGTTGAGTCGGTTGAATCCGAAAACCCAGCCCTCAATCAAGCCAGTAAAGGGCCCTGTCAGGGAGCTGTTCCATTTTTTCGCTCTCGCCGCTTGCTATCACCTGGGCAGCGGCTCCATGATGTTCGGCTCTGCTTCGTTACGTCTTTCCCGACGGGCTTTCTAAGCGGCAGAGGAGAAGGCATGGTCCAATGGCGCGGTTAGCTTTTGCCCAATCGTTTGGCCGCATAGGCGTATCCTGACAGGCAGGGGGCGGCGGTGATTCGCCGTGGGAGTCTTCGACATTTACAGAGTTCAGGACAGGGACTTGGCGACTCTTGATTTCGTGCCTTCTGGCAAGGTGGTGGATATAGACGGATGCGAAAATAGGATGGCCAGGGCGGAGGGTGTGGAACGGAAAATACGCATGATTACGATGTTTGTTTTGCACGTGTTGATGGTGATGGTGATGGTGGTGGCGATGATGGTGGTGGTTGGTGACGGTGACGGTGATGGTGTAGGTGATGATGAAGACTTCGGTGATGTTTATTCGTTCTACGGCGGGTAATGGCGTTAATGATGAACATGGTGACGTGGGTGGTGATGAGGATGGAAGAGATGATTGTGATGCTGCTGTTAATGGAGGTGGTGATGATCATGGTAATGTAATGACGATGGTGACTGTGATTGTGATGCTGATGATGATGTTGATGATGGTGATGACGACAATGATGATGATGTTGATGATGATGATGATGATGACTGGAGGATCCATATGAGGAGGAGTCTATACTTGCGCATTACAATGAGAGAGGATGGGGGAGCCGAAGTCGGAGGAGCTGGAGGAGGAGGGAGAGGAGGAGGGTAGCAGAATGTTGTGGGGGGCTTGTGGGGCGAGGGAGGAAGGCAGCGGGGAGGAACCTGAATTCCCTCGCGGGAGGCATGGGTATGGGATCAGGACGCAGCAGGATGCGGGAGGCAGGTCAGAGCCCCCAGTCTTCGGGGCTGGGGGCAGCCAGGGGCAGCTGAAGGTTCGCGCCTCGGGGGGCCCAAGCCGGAGTTCACTCGGGCCGCACATCCCAGATAGTTTGGTCGTCCCACCCTCCCGAATCATCGGGGTTGGGGGCAGTCAGGGGTAGCTGCGGGCTCGCGCCTCCGGGGCCCCAACGGGGGAGTTGCCCCGGACTGCAGCTGTACCAGGTAGTTCGGGCGCCGAAGAAGGGGGGGGGGGAAGAGCGAGGGAAGCGGAGCGAGGGGGGATGGCTGGAGCAGACGACCAAGGCAGGACCGCGGGTGGCGCCTCCGACGGGCGCCACCGGGGCGCCGAAGGCGCCGCCAGGGGAAGGGGGCTCCAGCGCCGATCCAAGAAATCTGCACAGACCTCCAAAAGGGTATTTTTGAATAGGTTTTGCTGCCCTGAGGGAAGCGTGAGGAGGAGGAGGAGGAGGAGGAGGAGGAGGAGGAGGAGGAAAAGGAGGAGGAGGACGGGGTGACACATAAAAATAGCTGCCAAAAAAGCTTTGCTGCCCCTCCCCGCACTCGAGACCGCCTCCTCCTTCGCAATCTGTCTTGACTGCGCTCGTCGTGCACTCGGTTTGCCCCTCTTCCTGCCCGGCTCTGGACAGGTGCAAGCTGTCCCACACCGTCGAGGACTCCCGCGCCACCCCGCATCCTCCTTCGCTGGACGTGGAGATCGAAGGGCGGGAGTTGGAGCAGGTAACATGTGATGTTGGTCCTGATTGCCGTGACGATGAGAAGGGTTATGATGATCAGGATGCTGATGCTGATGCTGATGCTGCTGATGATGCTGCTGCTGATGATGGTGATGCTGCATCTGATGATGATGCTGCTGCTGATGATGATGATGTAAACGACGACGACGACGGTGATGATGATGGTCATGATGATGATGATGATGATGATGATGATGATGATGATGATGATGATGATGGTGGTCATCATAATAATGATGGTGCTTATCATGATTGTGATGATGCTGATGGCGATGCCGTGGACGACGACACGACGGTGGTGTTTACGATGATGATATTTGGCATGATGATAAACACGACGACGATGATGATTATGACGATGATGACGATGATGACGGTACTGATGAATATGATGATGACGATATTGATGAATATGATAAGGATGCTGCTGATGCTGATGATGATGGCGTTGTTGCTGATGATGCTGCTGATGGTGATGCTGGAGATGATGATGATGATGTTGATGATGATGATGATGATGATGATGATGATGATGAGGATGAGGATGATGATGATGATGATGATGATGGTGATGATGATGATAATGATGATGATGCTGTTCATGGTGACGATGGCGATGACGGTCATAAGGATCATGGTGCGATTTTGATCAGTGATGATGCTGATGATATTGATGATGCTAAAGCTGAGACTGATGATGATGCTGATGATGCTGATGATGATGATGATGGTTACGATTACGAAGATCATGATGATGATGCTGATGCTGATGCTGCTGCTGATGATGATGCTGCTGATGATGCTGATGATGAGTATCACGGTGATGCTGATGCTGGTGTTGATGCAGAGGATGATGATGATGATGATGATCATGCTGATGGTGGTGATGATGACGATGATGACGATGATGATCATGATGTTGATGATGATATTGATGGTGATGATGATGATGATGCTGCTGCTGATGATGATGAAGATGATGATGATGATGATGATGTTGATGATGCTGATGATGATGCTGATGACGAGGGTGATGCTATGAGCATGGTTATGAGGACGACACTGGCTACGCTTATCATGTTGGTGAGGATGACGATGGCGATGGTGATGATGCTGATGATGATGATGAGGATGATGATGAACATGGTGATTGTGGTGATTATGATGTTGGTGGTGATCGTGATCAAGATTCTGATGGCGGTACATTCGATCATGATCGTGATTGTGATGCTGTTGGCGATCATGATCATGATTATCATCGCCATGCTGATGGGTCTGAAGATGATGATGACGATGACGATGTTGATGACGATGTTGATGT